CTCCTGGCCAGGCTGTGCTTAAGCCAGACGGCAGCACTGCACGAGGCCACGGAGAGGGGCTGTAGCACCCCCAGCCCCCGCACCCCCTGAAGCACAGTGTGGGCCAGGCCTGGTAGAACAGCCTAGTGCAGCACCCCACCTCCCCACAGACATGGGGGCCTGGGGCTGCTGGGGGAGCGGGGGCTACAGCTGCAGGCTGAGAGGCTGTGCCAGACTGCTCCTGTCAGGCCAGCAGGCAGCTACAGCACTAGGAGCAGGGGGTGGGGTTGGGCTATGGCTGCCCTCTGTGGCCTTGCTTGCAGCAGCGCTACCGCCACCTGGTCTGAGTACAGCCTAGCCAGAAACAGCGCAGTGCTCTCTGCCTGCAGCCCAGCCTGCAGGCACATCCAGGGGCACATGCCTCACCTCCAGCCATGCCCTCCTGGGCTGCGTGACCCCCCCATGCCCTCAGATAAGCCACTTACAGCTCTGTTCCCCCACGTCGTGTCAGATGTGCTTCCTCCCTCGCTGCCACTGGCGGGCAGGGGCACATCAAGGCCACAGCTGTGAGGAAGTGGGGGCTGGGGCTAGGGCCTCAATCTGCCCTGCCTCCCCCCCCCCACAATCCTTTCCCCACCTCCCTGCCCACAGACTTACCTGCTGGGGGAGGGGGGTAGATCTTGAGTTCCTTTTAAATCCAAAAGTGATCTTGAACCTAAAAAGGTTGGAGACCACTAGTCTAACTCCATCCTCTTTGTAACCACCCTTCCGGTATTTGAAGGCTGCTATCAAATCCCCTCAGCCTTCTCTTCTGCAGACTAAATAAGCCCAGTTCCCGCTCCGAAGTTGCACCCGCAACTTCAGGGTCCTGTTTCAAGATGGCAGTGGGGGTGCTTTAACTAAAACTTGCTTGATGAGCTTTAGTTAAAGCATCTCCACTGACATTTTAAAACGTGGGGATGCTGAATACACGAGATGCTGCAGCATGTGGGAGCGTTCTGATTAAAATGCTCCAGCTGACTTGATTAATAGCATCTGCTCTGATGTGTTCTAATCAAAACGTGTCAGAGCATGTGTATAGGTGCCTAGTATGGAACAAGGTTATGACCTGACTCTTATCCGAACTAACGGCAGTTCTGGCCTCTAGTGCTACCCACAGGTTGTGGAGGCAGTGGCACTCTGGGGCTGTACCACATACAGCACTTGCTCCAGAGCATATCCTGGAGCAATGGAGTGGCTGCCACATGCTGCAATGATGACCCTGGAGTGGCCACTGCAGCTCTGAAGATGTGCTGCACATGACAGCTGTGTACACCGCACCCCTAGAGTAGTAGGACCAGGGCAATATTGCACAGTGCCCACCCTGGCTGCTCCAGGACACATGGTGGATCTGGCTTACAAGGCAATGCAACTCATCCAGCCCATGGGGCTGAATGAATTTGACCCAGTTTCAGCTTACGGAGAGAACCACATCTAGGAGATCCCTTCAATTCCATTTGGAAATGGTCAGTTTATTTTTGAGAAACTTGAAACGTTACCATGGTCCTAAAGATAAATGAAACAGATTTTTTTTTATTTCAGTTTTGCGCAATTTCTCCTCCTAACAGCCAAACAGCCAGACCTAAACACCACCATTATAGCCTCCTGCTTTATGGAGACAGCGTTTTTCATGCTGCAGCACACATGAATTACCCAAAAGCAAGGATCTGGCTTCTGGCTACATGTAGACTGACTGCACAGAACTTGACCTTATGGGAGGTGGAACTGTTCAGCACTAAGAGAGAAACTGCTCTTTGCACCTGCACATTCCAGTGTGAAATGCCTTCTTTTGTATTTGTTCATCTAAAAGGTAAACAATGAAAGAGCAATTGGTCTGCAAGTTGGATCACATGGTGGGGAGGGTTTTCTTCTACCACTAATGGATGTGAGTTGCTTTTGAGAAGACTGTGTTGCCACAGGCAAATGTAATTCATTAGAACCAACTTGTGAAATCCCAGAATTGATTACTTCCCTTCAGGAACTACCAGGCTGACTTTAGGCCTGGATGCTCCTGTGTTACCACAGACTATTACATTTCATTTCCAGCTGTGAAATCCCTTAGGCTGTTTCAGCCAGGGCTTGTTCCCAGCCATTTCCCCCATTCCCATCCCTCTTCAGGGTTCTCTCATGAGCTATTACTTAAGTCCTACTGATCCTCTCATCACTAACATAGAAGACAGTTCCCATCAGTACCAGAGAAGATGTTTCTAGAGTAGCTACCACACAATCCCTAGTAGAGAAAAAAAAAGCAGCAGTAACTCATTTTCCATCTGGAAACTTGCCTGTAAGTAGACTGGAATTCAGGACAGTGATACTAGCCACTATTACCCCACTCATGGCATTAAGGGACTAGTTCAAGTCTCTCAGCCTTCAAGCTGCCTTATTTCAACATACCCATCATACACCACACAGGAATTACCTGTCAGTGATGGGTCAAATCACTACCTGAGGATACTGACCCACCAATGCACTTGCAATTAGAGCACCATGCATCAGAGAAAACTGTTTTGGCTTACCTTTATTTAAGTGACAGGCTACTGAAAAAGTAGTAGTCTGCAAGTTTTCTGTGGCTTTTCAATATATATAATTTAGAATCTAGAACTTTGGCCCAAGAGTGAACACCCAGAAAACAAACCTGCAGACATATTTGAGGTCACTAGAGCCACAACATCTCTGGCTCCCTGCCTCAAGACAGGTTCCTGACTATCCACCCTGGTCCTGCAGTTAGAACCTAGGTTTTGCCATCCTAACAACTCTCCATCTTAACACATTAACACAGGCAGCATCAGCAGTGTTTATCTATCTCAGAGATTTTTTTAAAAGCAGCCACCTGGAGCTCTGTTCTCATAATTGTAAAAGTACAATGAAGTTTCTAAAGCCTGCAGACTGAAGCCTCCATTCAAAGTGATGTGTGAACTGCTGTTCTCCTGTAACTGGTTACTGCTTTGTAGTCACCCACAGATCATGAACTGAAACATGCAGACCATCAGGGTGTAGCTATTTACCTTTCAGTAATCTGAGATCTTCACACCCTGTTGTCCATATGCACATTTCTCAGTCCAGTCTTCAGTACTCTCTCTCAAGGTCCTGCACATCTACAAGTCCATGCCAGAGGTGCAGTACTCTCTTTTATGGCCTCTGTGAAGCACAAGGAGTGGCAGGGGATACTAATGTCACATGGGTACAGCTGGTAAGGTGCATGCAGCACATGTGCACACAGTAGAGCATTCCTAATGAAAAGACATCTCAGACATTAAGCAGCTCCCACCCTGCATTCAGCAGGATTTTTCCACAGTAACCTCCTTCTGTTGCATGGTAACACGTTACAAAACCATACTAAGAAGCAGTATCTTTTTTAAAAAAAAAGCAGTTTATATATTTCTTCACTAGAAGTAAGTATATTAACTTTATTGGGGGGGAGGGGAACAAAAATAAAATGAAAAATTTAGACTAGGCCCTGACTAGTGAACCATGTGCCTTAGCACAATTGCTAAAACAGGTGTTAACTTAACTGTTCACATAAAGACAAATATTTAACAGTAGCAGGGGTGGTGGCTGACATGTGTACATGGTCTAAGATTCAGAAACGTTTCCTAAATTAGCTTTAGCTAGTCAACAATTTCAGACTCAAATCTATTTATATAGTTCAGAGGAAAAAAAAGATATGCAGGTAGCTTAAGTGAGCAGATACTACACACAAGTATATATTTCCAAATACATACTGTTCCAGTGTCTGCATTTGAGACAAAGTATTTTGTAGCTACAATAGTTATTTCATTTAAAAATTTAAATTCTTTCATGCCAAACCTAAGACAAAAATACATATAAATGGTATGAGTATGTTGATTTTTCTGTTGATGTCAGAGTCCAAGATTCAGAAAAGTGTTATTAAAATGTTGTTATCACATTAACAAAATAAGAAGCATTTAAGTGGCAACACGAGAAGTGCAATCAGTATTTCTGAAAACCTGTAGATTACAGTTGGCAGCCAGGATTGCTTCAGGGTATTTAAATTGGACAGTCATATATATGGATTTCTTGGTCATCTCCAACAGATACGATTTTGGAACCATTTCCATTGTATTTCACGCCCCAGACCTGCCAATACAAATATATAAACAATAGCTCATGACAGCGGATAACAAGATCAGACATTATTTCTTCATATTCTTTGTGGTCCATAAGTTTGCTGAACACAAGAAATGTGGATGGTATTTACTAAAGGTCATTCTTTCCACTGTTCTTAATGCAAAGTTAATCCCCTCTTATGTCACTCATTTACCCTTTAGCTGTTGAAATAGGACACTGCTATCTACTTGTCTGATAAGGTCCTTATGCATTAGTCATCTTTACATCTTCACTGGTATTCTTGTCAGTGGCTACCATTCAAATCCTGTCAAACCAATAATCATCCTTGTACACCATCCAATGCAACTAGACTTGATTTAATTGAATGGATGAAGGAGTAAAAAGCTACATGAGCAAGTCTAGGCAAGAGGAATTACCTTATTAAAAGGAAAGCCATTTTCATTTCAGAAAGGGAAAAGTCTAAAAAATGCAAGGCTGGAAGGTATGCAGGAGTGCACCAGACAAGAATGGCTACCTGTACCACCAGGTAACCTAGAGGTCTATCCTACAGGACTTCAGAACCATTATGAACCTGGGAGACTTAACAGGGTCAAACGTCTGAACAAACTACTGAGAATATCTTGTAAAAGAAATACAAAAACAGCTCATTAGCTTGTTGTTGCCAAAAAGGGCAATAGACGGTCTACAACTGTTTGCGGAAGTTTTCTTCACGTGCAGTGTTATTCCTCACCACCCACTTCCTAGGAGTCATTAGTGTGCTTGTCAGCCACCAAAGACAAGAGATCTACAGACTTTCAAAGAGAGAACAATTTATGTTCAAAAATCCAAATCTCATTTTACTGTACTTCATCAAAAACGTTATGGTTAACTGAAGAATAAGAAGAATGAACAGCTCAGGAGTATCAAGAGAGTAAAAATATTGCTAGCATGGGGGGAAAAAAACAAAAACAAAAAACAAACAAAAACTCCACACTTCTGGCTCTGTTTGTCAACATTTATGTCCAAAAAAATTTGGAAGGAAAAAAACTAGCTTGGTAAAGACTCAACTACTTCTTCCTCTCCCCTGATGAAAGCTAGCTACCCACTACAGTGCTCAGATTCAAGTCTTTTAAAGAACCAATGATCTTGATATTTAATAGGGAAAAGCCACTAAACCAGTTTTCAGACCTGTTCTTAACATGTATATATGGAAAAAATACATAAAGGACATGTGCTCTGTGCACTACAGAGAGTGTGTACAAAGATCTTTTGATTTAATAGACTGATGAGAATCCGTTTTGCCTTTTGTAACTGCCTTTTGCTTGTGGCTGTACAAAGGATTATACAGAAAGAGATCAGCCAAAGTTTTAAAAAGTTAATATTTTTAGGATATTAATTTTTCAAATATTGTAAATACATTTTCAGCTGTAAAATACCATGGCACTACCTTTAAAGCCAAACCAATATCCTATCCCCACTAAAATCAAAACCTAAAAGTGTAAGTTCTATTAGTACAACTTAAGGCATGAGGCAAGAATGCACACAATTCGCAATTATTCATTCTTAATATACCTGATCCTGATGGTCAAAGAAAGTGTGAACACAGGTCCTTGTTCCAGCATCCCAAACTTTTACACTTTTGTCAGATGAACTGGAAAATATTGTTAATCAATATGTAAATTAGTAACAATATAGTTGCAATATAAAATCAACAGCCCAAAGAGCTCATACCACTGTATAAAGAACTATCGAAGTTGGGGAGAAGCAACATAACATGTAGATCTTTACCAAACTCCAGAAATTGTATTTCTTAAACCAATGTTAAGTTATTTTTATATGAACATAGTAAATGAAGGAGAATTTGAAGCATAGCAAGCACAGTCTGAAGTTTTCTTAGTCAACTTGCATCAGATTCAACAAATTCTTGTTCTAAAGAATGTTTTTAAGTCTTCATTAGATTTACGATTTACTATAGTACAATGACATAAAGCATCAGATTATAAATTAGGCTACAACTGTCAAATTAAATTGTCAATGCACTTTGAGCATTCATGCCTTTATGTCCCTGGCTAAGGTTTTATATCAGGGTTTAGTGAGTGACTGAATGCACTACCACTTTTCTGCCACTGATTAAATAATGCAGTCCTGGAATAACCAGACACATTTTGCAATGCCCCAGGATAAACTGTTAGTACTTCTTATCCCATGAATTGTTTTAGGATTTATCCTGGAACAGATATGGATGTTTGTTTAAACAACTGCACTTTGTCCTGGGATAAAATGGTTTATCCTGGAACAAATGCAATATGTTTACAGCCTACTAGATTTTGTTATTTACTTGCTAGTTTAATGTAGCAAGAGTGCAGTATCTTTCCTTACTTTCAGAAGTATTTCACTCTCAAAAAAACCAAACCAAAACCAACCAACCAACCAAATACAAAAAAAAAACCACACACCACACAAAAAAAACAACTCTTGCTGACTTCAGTGGGATGATATAAGGTACTTGTCAAAATAATATCAGTCTCCCCTCTAATAATTTAAAATGGCTTTTCCAGTCAGTGTACATGCAATTCTAATGTTTTGGGGTTTGTTTGTTTTTTGGGGGGTTGTTTTGTTTTTCTAAACACATTTATTCTGTGATCTGTTTACATTATAAATGAAAGATTACCTTTCTTTCCAAAAAGTCTAAAAATAAGAAATACCTGGAAACGAAATGGGTATCATCAGGACAAAATGCCACATTTAATACCCAGGATCCATGACCACTTAGAGTCCCTGCCAAGTTTGCATGCTGCCTGTGGGAGAAAGAGTTTAGATTTAGCAGTCACTTAATGAAAGTATATTAAACTTCAGTTTGCAAATCCCAGAGAAGAGTGAGTAACTACTAGGCTGCATTCAGTGCAGCCTGTAACAGCTGTTATTTTTTTTCCAACAAGATTTATAACTGTGCAATTATTCATCTCAATTGAATAACAGGTTGTATACAATGGATCCTGTCTAAAACTATGAATTAGGTTGCTGGAGAAGATCTGTGAAGCACTTTGGTCTTCAACCGCCATCTTATTTTCATCATCCCTACAGGGGGCTGTATGCGCATTTTCTTAAAGTCTAGTAGAGATTGCAACTCAGACAAAAGAGTGATCTGGGAAAAAATGTTTAGTTAGAACAGGTAAACACTTTTAAACACTTGCTTTTGCTATTTTTCTGTAAAATTATTCAAAAGCTATTCAAAAGTTGATTCAATATGCAGCCCATCTGTTAAGGTACAGTACCTTGTTAGGCCTGGTGCTGGCCACAGGTGACGACCTGGTGAAGGGGCTGTGGGTGCTTGATCACCTGGGCAACAGCGATCATTGCCTGCTGGAATTCACCATCCAGCGCAAGGTGGCAAAGGCCTGCAACAAGGCAACAGCCCTTGATTTCAGGAGGGCGGACTTCAATGAGCTAAGGAGAATAGTCGGGGAAGCACTGAGGTCCTGGAGGGGAGGGGAGCCTGGTGTCCAAGAAGAGTGGTTGCTCCTTAAGGAGACGATCCTCCAAGCCCAAAGGGAGGTAATCCCAACAAGGATCAAAGCGAGCAGGAGGGCGCAAAAGCCCCCATGGCTCACCAAAATCATCCGGGAATGTCTTCTAGCTAAAAGGGAGGCATACACCCAATGGAAAGGAGGGGCCATCACCAGGGAGGACTATACTGCGGTTGCTCGGGGATGCAGGGGGGCAGTCAGGAAGGCCAAGGCGGAGATGGAACTGGGACTGGCTATCCAGATCAAGGACAACAAGAAGTCCTTTTTTAAATACACAGGGGGCAAAAAGAAGGTACTGAGTAACGTGGGGCCCCTGCAAGACACACTGGGAAATTTGGTTGTCACACCAGATGACAAAGCTAATCTATTTAACGACTTCTTTGCCTCCATTTTCCTGAGCAGGGACCAGATCAGCCCCCTCACTGGGCCCCCCTCAGGTCCCAGGGGAGGTGCACCCAGGCCTAGGGTCAGTGAGGATCTAGTCAGGGACCTTCTGGAGGGACTGGACCTATTTAAATCAGCTGGTCCGGACGATCTCCACCCCAGAGTGCTGAGGGAATTGGCAGAGGTCATTGCTGGACCCCTGGCACAGCTTTACGAGCACTCGTGGTGCTCTGGTGTGGTGCCAGAGGACTGGAAGAGGGCCAA